AGTAATGTCCGCTTGTATTCCACTGCTAAAAGTTATTACAGATACAATAATATTCGCTTCGATTAATACACAGCCGCAATAGTAATCACACAGTCACATGTAATAATCACACAGCCGGCAGTAGTTCTTTTTTGTAAGGGAAATTTCAGCAAAAATACAATATGTCGAAAACGGACAAATATATATTCAATAACACATCGCTCTGTGTGAAAGGGGAATTAATTAATTCAAGATTTCACTCAAATTAATCTTTGGAGATCTGATTTAGTTTGCCGATCAACTGATTAACTCGATGAAAGGTACCTGACCCGGAAAAAATCCTAGGTGATGGGTGGGATTTGAACTCGAGACCTTTATATTTGCAATCCCTGCACTCAGTCCGCAAGACTACTTGTTCCTTACTAAAATATAATTATTTTTGTCTACTTATTCTAAAAGACGGTCATTCGTTTTCGACATTTAATGGGCTACAAGATAGAATAAATATATGTCAACAGTTTTTACCAACCATACGACAGAAGTACAGACATCGGTGTCTTGTTTTGTTATCGTCATGTTGCTCTTATGTTGCCGAAAATGAATGATAAAGCAAAGAGTTTTCTATAAATAAAAGTCTTTTTGTTGACAACGTAATGAGCAATAGTTGCTCTTTGTTTGCTCTGAATCTGCTGACACAAAATATCTCAAATTTGCCTTCGTGTTGTCGATTACGTATGACTATGCATCATGTATTCAGCAAATACACAGCAACTAGTTGAAAACTTCAGCTCAGCATTAAGTTACATGATTTTGCAAAACATGCTTGGCTATCAGGGTAGCTTGATAACATAATCTAAGACCAAATTGACGCCAAATATGAAGCAAGATCTGCGCAACACGATTTGATAGAAAAATGACATTTATAATATAAAAAATGACTTAGATTTATAATTTATGTCCTCGAGTAAGTTTTCTTGGTTATTCTCTATGTTGTTTTAGTATTACTTCGCAGAAAAAAGTTATTGTGTCAGATAATTATTTCGACTGGATTCGAACCTGGAATCTGGAACCCTCTGATTATAAAGCAGGCACTCTATCAATTTAACCATTGAAACTTTCACAATCAATTACTTTAAAACTAATATTTTAATGGCATTCAGTGATATTGTTACTGATTCTAAATAAAACTTGTTACTAAGTAAATCAGAGAAATTTTAACTGTGTTCTAGTAAAACTAATCTGTTACTGACACCTTAGATAGATAGATAGATAGATAACAAGGAGCGGGGGGGTTGTGAGACCCTATTGTCACCTAGATCTATAAGATCTTCTACGACTTCCGCTAGTTCTTCTTTATTGACCAAGCTGCTAAAACCCGGCATTTGCTGCCAGGCTACACAGATGGCCGATTTTAATTATTTTCAGGTCCTCGGGCTTCACAAACATGGAGCCCAAGGATCTGAATCTCTTGAGTGCTAGAGACGGGCAGCGACACAATATGTGCACGCAGTCCTCCCTTTCCTCACCACAGAATCTACAACTACTCTCCTCAACTAGGCCTAAGTTGAATAGATGTGCCTTAAAGGCCCAATGCTTCGTAAAAAGACCGATACACAGTCTTTTTCTGTAGTTACTCATTGTCAGTAGTTCCTTTGTCCTACCTGGCAATAGCTGAGTCATCAGGGCCTTAGCTTGGCGGCAGCTCTTCAGTATCTCCCAAGAGATCCTGTGCTCCCTTTTCAGCCAGTCCTTGATATGGTTTTTCCCTGTTGCAAAGGGAACTCCAACTATCTGGCAGACTGGTTCCTCTAAGGTACACAGTTTTGCCAGACTATCAGCCACTTCATTGCCTTGGATACCTTGGTGGCCAGGTACCCAGACAAGCGTGATGTTGTTTCGCTCGCCCAATCTGTTTAGAGCTTGCATACAGTCCCAAACCACTAAAGATTCAGTGGTGGTATTAGCAAGAGCTCCTATGGCTGTTTTGCTATCCGTATAGATATTGATTCTCCTAGTTTTTGTCTCTCTTGAGAGTAGGAGTCTTACACATTCCAGAATGGCCAGGACTTCCGCTTGAAAGACCATGACCAGTTTACCCAGAGAGAAAAACTCTGTGATTTGATTCTGGACAGTAGATGCCTGCTCCATAGCAGCCGTTTGCTCCAGATCCATCAGTGAACCATGCATGAGTGCCCGGCTGGATCTGATTTCTGTTTTTCCAGTCTGCCCTGGTGGTCAAGTTTATGGAGAACGCCTTGTCTACTTGGCGTATTCTGGATATTCTGTCTTGCTTTAAGGTAAAGGGAGGTTTATGAAGAAACTCGAGCTTGGTATGACCTACTCCGAAATCTCTCTACTCCCCCTGACACCTTAGTCTATATGCTGTGAGTTTGGCAGCGCTGATGATAGTCAATCTTAAAGGTGGAATGCAGAGCGCCACTTCCAGCGCTTCTGTTGGTGTCGTTTTCATAATTCCTACCGCAGCCCTCAAGTAATTACCTTGTAGGCTTTTTAGTAGGTTCTTAGACTCCATCTTTTCCACTCTGGGCCACCAAACAACAGCAGCATATGTTAACCTCGGTACTAATACCGCTGTATATCCATAGGGCAGTATTTAATTTAATACCCCAGGATTTTCTTATTGCTCTTCTACACGCCCAGTATGAAGCGTAGAATTTGGATCTCTTTATATCGAGATGTGTTTTCCAATTCAGTTTGGTGCTAAGTGGACTCCCAAATATTGTACTGACTGGACGTATTCTATATCTTCCCGTCAGAGTCTAAGCGGGTCACTGGCTTTAGGTTTGTATTTCCTGATGAAAATCATGGCCTTGGTTTTTGATGGATTAGCCCTAAGTCCTTTTGATTGACACCAGTCTTGCGTGATCTTAAGGGCTTTTCCCATAGTCTCCTTAAGTATTGAAAGAAAGTTGCCCCGCACTATAATGGCCACATCATCAGCGTAGCCAAAGGCGACGAAACCTGTCTTCTGTAATTTATATAAAAGTTTGTTCACGACCAAGCACCACAGCAGGGGGGATAAAATTCCCCCTGCGGGCATCCTTTGGCGGGAAAACCATGCACGTTTGAGTCCCCATGATTAGCAATCAGGGTTCTTCCTGTTAGCATGCTTTGTGTCCAGTCTGCTAGTGCGGCTGGAATGTCGTGTCTGGTCATCTCCTCCCCGATTACATCATATGAGGTGCTATCAAAAGCTCCCTCAATGTCCAGGAAGACGCCCAGGGCATATCCTTTTGTCTCCAATTGCTTCTCGACCCCGCTCACAAGGTGGTGCAAGGCAGTATCCGTGGATCTGCCCTCCCTGTAAGCATATTGGGAAGAAGCCAGTGGACATGTAAGCAAAGGTC